CCTGTGGTCACCCCACGGCTGGGGCCTGGGCCACATGTCAGGGAGACAGGTCTCTGGGGTCCCCCTGGACTGGGGGTCCCCTTTTCCCAGGGCTGGAATCCCTGGGGTCCCCCTGAACTGGGGGTCCCTGGATCTCACTCTGAGGCTGGGAGTCCTTGGATCTCACCTCAGGACTGGGGGTCCCTGGGGGCACCTTGGGGCTGAGGGTCCCTGAATCTCACCCTGAGGCTGGAGTCCCTGGGGTCACCCCAGGGCTGGGATTTCCTGTACCTCACCCAGAGGTTGGGGGTCCCTTGCTCTCACCCCGTGGCCATGGACCCAGGATCGACCCCAGCTCCAGTCTCTCCACATTCCAGCCCTTGCCCCTCCCCTGGGAGCACATGCACAGGAGGTCGTCACTGGGCAGGGGGAGGAAGAGGAGGCTCAGAGCCTGGCACACTGAGGGATACTCCCATGGGGGCACAGCAGCCACAGAGCCTGTTTCCTTCATGTCCAGAAGCTGTGTGGTCTTTCATGCAAATACCTCTGGCAGAAATGCACAGTGATTTCATTTCACCCATTAGAAGTATGACAAAAATAACCTGTCATCTAAACATTCCCTGGAGAAAGATTCTCAAATATGGTTTTACTGGGTTTTTTGCCTTGTGCTTCTGTGTCTTCTGTGTTCAGAAATGGAAAATGGGCATGTTTGCCTCCTGTTTTTCCCTCCTTTAATTCAAAACTATTTCAATGCTAGTTAAAACATTTGGTTGCTGGCTCTGAAGATACTCCACAAGCATTAAACCACTGTAGAAATAAAGCTGACATAAATTCATGGCTAGATCTGGGGAACTACTCACATTCCTCTTTATCCTCTTTTGCCTTTAGTATGAAAAGCAGCCTGGAGCTCAGAGGTGTCAGAATAATGGCTTTCCTGATGTATGTATCTGGTTTCCTAATCAAATCTCACAGAAATAAAGCTTTCACTTTGAAAAAAAAAATAAAATTCTGGACTTTTACCCATAAAATACTTACTGGAGTGACTTCACTTCAATGTTTCTGTTTGTCATTACAGCACTAGGGTTGGTTTAAATAGCTTGGATTTATCAACACACGAGGAGCCTCTAATGTTGATTTTCTAGGACCAGAGTGGGGAATTGCAGCCTGGATCATATTCCTACTACAGAGATGGGATAATGGCCATGCTGTCCAAGGCAGCTGTGGGCTGGAAGGCAAACCTTCCTCCAGAGAGCCAAGCTGACGGGAATATTGATGTTTATTGCCCTTGTAGAGTAAATAAAAGCCTTGTTCTTCTCCTGGACTGCCTATGGCTCTGTGCACAGGCCGGTGCAAGGTGCTGCTGCCAAGACCCTTGCTGAGTGTCCAGGTCCTATATGGCACTGCATCATAAATGGTGATTTTCCATCGCTTTATTGCTCACAATGGGAAAGTTGGCCCAGATCTCCCTGCAGAAAGAGACTGTAGAGTCCTGTACCCATTTACAGTACTTCCACTGCCCTCTGAGAAGGATTTGCTGATGCTTTGTGCACTGGCAATGAGGCTCAACGTGTTATTTTAGGTAATTATAGAGAGCTATTCCTGTTTCTGATGTGGCTGGAGCTTTCTGGTGCGAGTGTCTACCGAGTTTGTGCAATATGATAATTGAGATTTTTTGTATTTCCACCTCTCCTGACAACCAAAAGAAATTTCTATACGGAAACACATTTTTTACTTATAGTTCTGACAGCTACCTCTATTTCCAGTCTCCCCCATCCATAACACACTCCAGGGAGATTAACCACATTGCCAGGCACTGGCTAGTAGCTCTCCTTATATCTGAAGTAACAGCCTGTGCTTCTAGCGTTAGGGAGGGTGGCCAGATACTTGAAGTCCTTCCTTTAGTAAAAATTGGCGGAAGCTGCCAGGAGATAGACAGCAACATATTTGGAACATCCTTCAACTCTTCTTCATAGCACATTTTGTTAGAAACTGACAGGAGCTCTTCAGTTAATAACATCAGTCTCCAGGAGTGGTCAGAACCCTCATCCCTTTGCCTAAAGATCTCTCCATACATGAGATATCCTTGGCTATCATCCTGGTCACTCTCTTCCCCTCATTCAGGTGTGATCCCCATCTTGTGCTCAAAAGCAGAGATAGAAAAGAATGCAAAATCCACACCTTTAGAAGAGGTCATGGATTTCTGTTCACCTCAGGTGGAAGAGCTAAGCCAAATGGCATTCCAGCTGGTTGATGTGCCAGGCAAGCACATGCATGAGGGAAGGTACAGCTGAGAAAGGGGCAAACCCCTGTGGGGCAGGGACCATCGGCCTCATTGCTGACAACACTGCAACAGCGAGGGACTCCCAAGCTGCATCTTTCTCCTCAGCATCCTCCAGCTCTTGCAGCCACCACTACCTTGAACTTGGAAAAGCAGCCCTGGGCACCCCATCAGCAGCAGTTGGCATGCAGGGATGCCAATTTGCTGGTGACTCAGTGTCTTGATTTATCCCATTCATGCAATGCTCCTCCGGGAAAAGCTTATTAATCAGATCTGTGTTTCCAATGCAGCATCATGATTTAGGGTTCCCCATGACAAATAATTCAGTGAGAGTGGAATTATTACATGCCTTGGTGGCTTCTGAAAAGGGTTGGCAGACTGGGGAGAGGGACTGAGGTGGCAGCAAGGGTTTGCCACCTTCCAGAACCCTGAGAAGGACAAGCCCACCTGGGTTGAGCACAGGTCAGGAGGTGCTGTGAAATATTCACGGAAGGCTGGAGTGCATCATGCTTAGACAAGAGGGTCCCTCTGTCCAGCCCCCCACCATAGCATGAACCAATGACCTTCTCCCCTGGCTGTCAACACATGGATGCTGAGGTACAGCTCAGTCTCTAATTTGGGGCTCACTGTTGATGCTGGCTCTGGCACGATGGTGGTTTCTATGGCAACTCCAGAGCCGGATGCAGGGATGCCTCCAGCTGAGGTACCACCAGGCCAGGTATCCCAGGTTGTTCCTCCCAAATCACAGGCAAATGGCCATAGAGTACATTAGAATGGACCCAGCAGTCACTGTGCCAGGTGGGCACCAGAGGTGATGAGTCAACAACACAAAAAATGTCCTGTGAATGCTCTTCTGAATCTTTTCCAAATTTTCCCCTGCCGTGACACCCTGGGAGATGGCACAGCCTGCCCCAGCGGTGTGCTGAAAGCTGCTGCTCTCTGACAGGATTCAGCCTCCTGTCTCTATGGCCCTGCTGCCCACATGAGGATTATGCTGGCTCTCTTCTTGGAAAGGTCAGGCATCTGTGCTTGATATTTACCCAGACCTGTGAGATCTTTCTAATGTTGTACCAGTGAAAGATTGAATCCCTCACCTGTGCCCACTATCACTGCTCTCTGCTTTGGGTGCAGGATCTGCATGGAACCAAGACCAGTAAGACTGAAGTAAGCCCATAGCACTGGGTAACTGGGGTGGCACCCCCCCATCAATTTGCTGTGCCCCCCTGAACATCACCCACAGACGTTACTAGTACGGAGCTTACCTTCCCTTCCCAGTTGCCAGTAAGCAGGATTGCAGTGTTCCTGTCCAGGGGAGCTGGATCTGACTCTCTCACACCAGCCATGGTCCATCCTTTGAGATAGGGCTGTGGTGTTGGATGGGGCTCAATAGCCCTAATATTAGGCATCTCATCCTATTTCTCAGCATCTTGGTAGCCCTCACGATTCCCTGCCTCTCTCACACCCTGGCTCCTTCCAACAAAGACCCTCTCCTGCTGCTGCCTTCACCTTCCACAGCCCCTTCACTCACAGGAGAGGCAAAGTAGGAGTAAGGCTGTGCCAAGTTCATCTCCCCCTCTCCAAAAGGGGGCCCAGATCCCTATATCACATTGCTCTGCTCACTGGCAGTGGGGAGAAGAACAAGAGTCGCCCCTGCTGCACAGCACCATGGTGGTCCTGCTAGGGAAAGGCTCACTGGACTCTCTTCTGGGAGGGAGTTTCCTGACAGGCTATAGCATGGAACCGTCTGGAGCAGGATAACCAGGGATAACACAACTCTTATGGGGTAAAATTCCACGTTTCCTTTATTTGAGGTGCTACATCACCTCCCAGGCACTGAGCTACAGGGCACCTCTGTGCTACATGAGACATCGACTGGGTCTACGACGACACAGCACTCACTGCTACACGCACGGCACGGACACGCCGCGGCATGGGTGGGGCTGGACAG